AGCAGAGGCAGACGGGTCCTGCAGATTGTTTCAGTTTTCACTGGGAACAGGCATAAACCCTGTGGTCACTAGAATGTAACCTGACATTGGGGAGATGCCTTCACCTTCAGACTAAATCCAGCCACCCAGGGCACTCACATACCACTCTGGGATGATACCTGATCCCACAAACAAGCTATCTGAGTTTTTAAAGTCTAAAACAAGAAGCACACAGCATTATGCTTGTAGCTTATGTGCTGAAACAATATGTCATAAGGCGATTAGTCAGTTGACAGAAAATTATTTGAGACATCTATCAAAACAAAAACCTTAACATTTGCTGGTACTGGTTTATCTACTAAGAGGGTTTCCTTTTCTCATGTGTTTTATATCATTGCAAATGGACATATGATCATAACGCATTGGTCAGATAAAACATCTGAGTTCAAGATGCCACCTTAGGAAATTGTGCTGGCAGTTTTTTTTAACTATTTTTCTGACATTTCATAGACTAAATAATCAATTAGACATTGAAAACAATAGACACACAAATCAACATCATCATTTAGCCCTATTACACTATCACTGAATGAGTACACACACTAAATATTAACTAACTCTCTTACCAATTTCAACACAAATTTGTTGTTCACAATGGAGCATTATCAGGGAAAAAATAGGGTGCATCCCGAAGGTGTCCTAGGGAAGATCTCTGTTGGTACCAAAAACATTTTCTATTGTCCCTGGGATGACATTAGCCTTAAGCCCTGCCTATTAGCCTGCGCAAAATTGATATAACACAACAGACAAACATGTGCCATTGTTGAATGTCATCTCAAGCCCTGTTCCCACTACACAGAAAACCCCTGTTAACATCAGTGTGACAGGGGCATTCATATAATATAGTAAACAGGCTAACAACTCTGTAGTGGTCATGGGTATTTATTGGCCTCGGCTCCGATCGGCAATGATGAAAATACACCCCCTGGGTGAGCAATTTTAGCCCCTTTCCTGGCAAGATGCAATGACACACCACCACAAAATATTATCTGTCTTCTGGCGAGCAGCGCTCAAACTGAGTTTGTAACAGACTGAATAAGTAAGAGGTAAGGAAAAAGAAGTAACCACCATAGCATGTTCACTAACCTTCATGCTACTTTCTACTGTTTACTAGCCTGTTTTCTGGCCTGTCCGTGACGCTGAATATGTCACACCAGAAAACACACACACACTTGTGGGTACAGGCATACTCTTGTGCTGCAGAGTCATGCTCACAGCTCTAGTCCACTAACAATAGGAAAGAAGTCTATAGCCTATTTTTGTGGCTTTTCCCATGTTTAAAAACCCAGCTTACACGTGCTATTGTTGTTGGGAAAGGAGTATCATTTCCTGAATGGCCGATGGCAGGCAACAAGGCGAATACTGGCCAATAACGGAGTTTGTCTAATAAATCAGTGCATCCCTAGCTGCTGCCATAGAAACATCTACAAGTGCTTTCACTTTAAACAAAAGCTCAGTGCTTAAGGCTTGAGTTATTTCAACAGTCTGGCATTTTGCACAAAAATTCACTATTCACATCAAGTGTCACTCTAGGTGGTGACATGTTTTTATGACTTTAGAGGCTATGCTAGTGTTTTCAGGGGTGCGTATTATTATGTTATGCACTCTGCTGGGATGGACTCCCTTACCACTCCTCCTTTTACCATCAGCAAAGAGAGAGCTTTCGCCTGGGGTGATAATGTGAGTAGCACTTTGAAATATTCAACAAGGTATTATGTGCCCTGTTGAGGTAATATTCTGCAGCCACACACCCTTTGATAGATGGGACTGTTTGAGCAGTGAGCTTGCAGGAAGCCTCCACTGGAAAGGCTGCATGTGGAGCACAAAACAGTGGAAAAGCTCTGTCCCTTCACTGCTGCTGTCCACATAGCAGACACTGGCGAGGGGCAGTCTTTCAGACTCAGCATGTCGGGCTTATGGAGGGCTATTTTACTGGACAAAAATCTATTGTGCACCTAATCTCCAAAAGCGCTGACATGCTTTGTGTTCTGTATTATCTTTAGCTGTCCGAGATCCAACCAAAGCATGAAATCTGGGGCTCTTTCAGGAATCTATCTACATATCTAGTTAGATCAACAATCAGCCACGCAGCCGCACATGTCAAGGCTTATCCACACAAGCCATTGAAGGTTGAATACATTCAGTGTGTGCCTTTAATTAGTTTGATTTTTACATATGATAGTTAAGCACTCCTAATGTAAGAATGTGCTATGCTGCAAATTAATGATTAACAGTTGGGCTTGGAATCCTCCTGCATATTAATAGAGTTGAATCTTCACAATTTATTTTAGATATTAAAAACAGCATTTTTTAAAATAATTGGTCTGCTCGTTGTTTTATTCTTTAAGTCTCCCCAGTGATAGAACAAAGGCCAATTTTACTGTTTCACAATGGAAATTCCCTGCTCTGCTACATGTGGTTTGGTCTCAAGGGAGGCAGGAGAGAAAGATCAACTCTCTTATGACCACACCATGTAAATATGGGATGGAAATAAGCTACAATTTAATGAAAAAAGGAATCTGACTATCATTATCATCCCACATTGAAGCCATACCATAGTAGCTGAGAGTCCTTTCCAGACAAAAATATATGTATCTCAGGAGTGTCTCTCACATTTTCAAACCAATCTGTATCATTATGCAAATGATCTAGTAAAAGATTATTGAGTGTGTTGAGTGTAAAGTATACATGGACAGGCAATCATAATTCCTGCTTGTACGCCTTAGCAGTTCAAGTGTATCTATATAAAGTCTGCATTTATGTTATGAATACACTGATGTCATAAAAGATACATTCAAGGGTTGGTAACGGAGTAAATAAACACAAAATGCTGATTGCCACTCAGTAAAAGCTCTTTTAAGAGCACTTGATTGAATTGTGCACAAGGGAAGCTGACCTTCTCTCGACCAGCTGAGGGAAGAGGTTGATACTTCAGCACTTTACTTTAAATACACACATGCATAGACACAAAGCAAATAACCATTTTGTTTCCAGGCAAACAAGCTGCGAGGAAAAGACTGGAAATACTTTCCCTTTCTTGAAGGGGGGGGGGGGTACTTTTTGATCATAGTAGGAAAAAGCAAATCTGACACGTAACATAGGGGCGAGGGCTTAAGCCTTGATGTCAGGCCAGAATTAGAGGGTGAAAAAAGTACAAGGAGGAGAGGCCAGCCAAAGGGCGCTAAACTATTCAACTGCTGTCAGCTCCCATTTAAAATAACTCACCATGAAGAACACACAAAAGGCCTTTTGCAACTGTTTGTGTTTTTGCCTACCAGGGCACAAGGTTGGTCTTTGTGCAAACAACACTTTTTTTTTTTACATCTACTAGTACCCACATAATCAATACAGAAAGTTTCCTGCTTCACTATCTAGTACAGCAACAGTGGTAAACAACATGGAGCGTGACAAATGAAACTGACAACGAGTTGGCAGAATGTCTGACCTGCTAAAACCTCTCTCGTTGTGCCAAACACAGTGTCACTGCTTAGAGTACACGCAGTAACTACGAAAAAAAAGCAAAACCGAGGGAGAGTCTGACTCTTCAAACCAGCGTCCTGCTGTTCTTTCAATTCCACAGTGAACCACTCTGAATGGCTGTCAGCTGTGTGGCAGTGTGTGTCTTGTGCCGTAATGTGAATCACGAGGGGAGCAACCTAGCGACTCCTCTTCTGCTTGTATGTGTGTGTTAGAGATGGAGTGAGTGTGAGAAAGAGTTCACGTATGATCTCATTTGCCATTATGCACGTCCACTGCTGGCTGGAATAAAACTTGCACTGTGACCACATCAGTGATGCAAGCAGATAACCTTTCCACACCTGCATGGCAACAGGGGAGACTTGGAGCAGTGCTCCCAACATCTTTCAAGCGATAATAGGGGTATATGAGACCTGACCTTTGGTGGATAGCCATCATGACAAAATTATAACTGCTCCTTCGATCTTTGTGTGTTTCTCTGTTATAGGCAAGACTCAAACATGGCACAGAGGGATTTAAATAAATGGGAAAATCTCTAGTCCCCTTGCAATGACATTCATGCAGGCTGGTTTATTAGAAATATGAACTGAAGACTGAGCAAAGGGCTTTAGGTCTTTTGTGATATTGTGAATTAAAAATTAGACCTACTTTTCAAACCAAAGTGGGACAAGGTAACGGTATAAATCCTGTTTTAGATAGGCTACCTGGCTAATTAATCAAGCTAAGGTTAAGCTGCACTTAAATGCACTAGGTAAGGCAATTTGACTATATCTTTGATAAGCTTCCGGGGCAATAAAGGTGAGTCCATCTTTTCTTAAAAGGCAGGTTATTCTTGCACAATTCACAGCAAGGAGACATTAGATACAGCCACGAGACACGTTTAAAAGAAACGCCCCTGCTTAAAATGCAGATTAGGGTCATTAAATATGGCGTAGTTTGAATGTAGCGAGTGAACGTGAGGGTAAAGGTAAGCTTATCATGCGGGAGCAGAGAGTCGGGATCTCCGCCCCACGGCGACCTCGCATTCCTGAGATTCCCACACTCTAAGCTCACCTGGCTTTTCCTTCACCACTTTGCAACACGCTTTCAAGGACAATATGAGAGAAAAGTCAGCTTTTTAAGGACAGGGAAACTAACACCGGAGCAGTTTCTGTACGTTAGCCAGCTAAGTTTTCATCCCAATGGTTAGGCATCGAAGACAGCGCGTGAAGGTCCCTCAGAAGGTATGTTGGCGATGACTCGGTCACAAGATCAAGATTAGCATAGTATTAGATTGTCTCCCGCTGTGAGGAAACCTTAAGAAGTTTGCCTTGTGCCACCCACACACAAAGAGAAGCTAACACCTTCTTCACACTGTGAATTCAAGACTTTCTGAGTTCAAGCAGCAGTCCATACCCTCCTGCCTTGCGCACAGATGCTTTTTATTTTTCCCCCTACGTTTTCCCCCAGTAAGTGAAGGAGCAGGGAAAAAAACAGTTAATTACCTTGGGAGGACTGTTGTTCCGCTGGCTGAGCTGCGGCTCGGATCTACATTGGAACACGTAACTTCATCGGTAAAGTCCCGTCGTTTAGTCCCATGCATGTGGAAGAGTGAAACGCGCCTCCATAGTCGAGAAGAAGAAGACGACCCTTCCGCTGCTCCCTGCTTCCACCAGCAGTCCCAGGCAATGCGAGCGTGCATGACGTCAGTGGGAATGTGGGAAAGCAGTGCGCACTCCTGATTGGCCGCGGCGGGAGTAGGGGGCGTTGCAGAGGAGGTTCGCTTCGTTGAATTAGCCAATGGCGGAGGAGATGATAGTTACCTTGGTTACAAATTTTTGTCAACCTATACACTGTACAGAGAGGGATAGCACAAGGTTAGCTAGGGTTCACTGGGTTAAATGTTCATTTTACTCGCGTAGCAAAGACTTTAAACGAGTCGTTTGTGTTACTTTCAGTTAAATTACGAGGGTTGTCAAACTTACCAGTGTTCCTGTTCACAATATATGTCCATTTGGCTTCACTGTACACCTTGCTAGCGTTAGCTAACTAACAAGATAGTAAAACAACTGCTCCTCCGTGACGCCTCTCCAGCTCACCTGCCTTTTTGTAAGTGTGTGTTTGTATTTCCCCCATTGTTGAACTACAGTGGGTCTGCAACTAAGTATTACTTTCGATTATTTTCCTCCTAATTGAGTTGTGAAAAATGCCTATCACCATTTCTGTTGATTGAATTGAGTTGTTTGACTTGCTTTATTTGTCCAAACAACAGCTGAATATTCAAAGTTATGCCTTTTAGTTTGTTATAATATTGGACAAGCAAATAACTTCAAAAAATCTGCAGAGTATGGAAAACATTGTTGAGGAATGGTGCCGGAAATGGAGAATAATGGTAAATCAAGATAAAACACAATTAGTATATCCTCCTGAGACCTGAACTTTTGTTTGGTAAGCATTTTTAAATTTTTATTACACTTATTGGGATCAGTAGTACCCAATAAGTGTAAAAAAACTCAATATTGTAGATGATAATTAAGTCCCAATGTCCTCAAATGAGACAATAATAAAATTGTCTTCAAATGAGTACTTCCTAATATCTATACAGTATCTTAGCTTGTTACTTTTGCTAAAATTGGTCAAATGTGTTGCCATATCAAACTATAAGCATTATTAATCATAAATTAACAACCATAAAATGTAATCAGGTTTTGGAACCTTGTCCACTTTTGTGTCGGGATCAGCTGCAGACTAACTTGTCAGAGATGGCTGCCATCTTGCTTTTACATGGATTAGTGTATTGTGCTTTGTCTAAGTGTCCATGATCGTAGACAACAGGTCTAAGTGAAGTGGAATGAAGTTTTAGGTCAAGTAAACCCAAAATGTGATGTCCTCATAGGACAGAGGGTCTCAGGAGGATATTTCAGAAGATCGTCACTGGAGAGTAGTTCAGTTGTTTTTAACTTTTATTCAACAGAGCTGTCATATACTCACCAGTATAAATATATTTGCTTGATGCTGGAAGGGCACATGACATTTAAAAAAGCTGTCAGTGTTGTAGCTCAGTCAGCAGGTAGAGCGCTTGGGTCTGTACTGGACAAAGTTATACTATGTGTCAATATTGGATTCCATACCTATACACAACTCTATAATTCATGTGTGTGTGTCCTGTGTCTCACTATGCTGCTGGGGTTTCCGAGAACATACAAATTGTAACACTGTGCATCGTAGAGCAATCTGATCCTTTTTGGGAGTCCATATATATTTACCACAGTTTTGGCCATAAGTGGAGATATGGGATGGTAACCTCCAGACATCAGACATCTTTGTTAAATGCGTCGGCTTTGGAGTAGACTTATGAAGATGTCTGATCAGAGACTCACTAAAAAGATATTTCATTGGGACATCTCTCCCGTGGTCATCCCTGTGCTTATGAGTTGAAGTCCCTATTCTATTTGAACAACTTGGCATTTATTTTTCAGAGCAGGTTACTTTGTGATATTCAGGAGAAAAGGGGTCTGATGATATATGCTATAAACCAAAATTACGAACTTACTGTCTCATAAAGAATAGCTGTAGCATGGAATCTTATATGAAGTATAACTTATACAAAGACCTCTATGAGCACAGTTGTGCTCAGGAAAATTACCATTAGCCTTAGAGACTGGTAGGTTTAATGCCACTCCAGAGAAGGACAGACACTGCTTGTTGTGTATTAACTTTTTGTTTTACTGTCCTGTATACAAAGATGTAAGTGATGTACTTTTAGTGAAATTACTTTAGTTAATGTTGAATTGTTTTGGCTGGAAGACCATGAAAAACTTTTTTTGTGTATTTGTTTGCTGGGCCTGGGATAGAAGGCAAATTGTTTTGTTTGGGTACTGAGCAGTAAGATTTCATGCACTTTGGATCGGTCACTGCAACAATAATGTAATGGTGTCTTATAAACCAACAATGGTCGGACACATGTTTGTGTGCATGACACAAAATACTAAATCAATCAATATATTCACATTCTAAATAGCTGTAACTGAGGAATTTGGGGTATTTTTGCTAATGCTACATGTCCCTCTCAAGTATGGAAAATCTTCCTGAGAAAATCAGTGGCTGATGTTAGGCTACTATCATGGACGGATTATGAGACAATGGCCCCCTGGGCACAGATATGCAGAAGGTCCCACCACCTCCCTACATAGGCACAAGACACACAGACTTTGTTGTGGTTTTGCCTCTTTTTTACTGTATCTTTTATCTTTGTAGTCTTAATGCAGTTTTTTTGTGGTGCTGTGTCTCCTTGTGGCATTTTTGTGTCTCTTTGTCATTTTGTTTCTCTTTGGGTTTGTTTTGCTCATTTTTGTAGTTATTTTGTGTCTCTTAGCAGTTTTTTTGCAGTCATTTTGAGTCTCTACCTGGTCGGTAAATGTTAATTTGAGTGATATTTCACAGGTGATGGCCAGTGGGGGCCCTGACACTTCAGGCCCCTTGGCTTGTGCTCGATAGGCTTATTCTGTAATCTATTCATGGCTACTATTATGTCCTGAATCTTAACCATTGGTGATACCTTGTCATTTGTTGTTAATGTATGAAAGACAATGGAAGGCAATAATTTTGCTCTGTTTTTCAAAAATGAGGCCTAATTCTCTTTAATGGATCCAGAACAGAGCATCAGTTTTAATTTCACTTATAAATTCATCTGCTCCAGCATATTTCACACAAATCTTTTACACATTGTACATTTGAACTGACACAAGGCCTGTGTGGCCACAATTTTTCAAAGCTTAATCCACAACAAATACATGGAGATGTTCCAGCAGTATATCTGATCACACTGGGTGAACCATCTGTCCCGTCACAACAAACACTAAAACTTGTGAGAGTACACTGGGTTTTCTAGCAATGTCATGCAGACCTTGATGGCAAAGTTTAGTTTTTGATGAGCTTCATTGCTTTTGGCTTATAGTCTCCTGTTCATCATTTGAATGACCCCATTAAGGCCAGGTACCTCTACAGATAAAATATTGTCTTTTATCCTCATTTTGTGCACAACCTCTGTATTTTTCACATAAACTGATATTGATTTGATTTGATATGATTTCACTTTATTATCGGAATATTTCTTGGTGTTAATGTGTCCCAGGACGTATTTTTTTTAAATTATTATTTTGTTTGTTTGTTTATTTCGGTCATCAATTTTACACAACTCAAAATCTACACAGTTGAAAACTTAAATACTGTAGATACATTTGGGTAAAAAAAAAAGAGAGAGAGAAAAAAAGGAATAAACAAATAAGATTCATATTCATATTCAACACAAATTTCATTTGTTATGAGCAGATCTTGACCGAAAAGGGTGTAGGCTGAAGCATAGCTTATTACGCCTCCCCTTTTACAAAAACAAATTAGTTTACACTCGTGTTCGCTCTGCTACTTCATCTAAAACGAACAAACAAAATACAAACACAGTTGTCCAACATAGAAGACACTAGTATTCATGATCCTAATCCATACAAATTGATCATCCTATTTTTAAGTAATTTCTTAAATGTGTTTATTGAACTACATATTTTCAAATCATTATCAAGATTATTCCATAGATTGACCTCTGATACAGTTGTACATCTTTGTTTAGTGTTTGTTCTGATTTTTGTCTTTGTAAGCACGCATGTCCCTCTGAGGTTGTAATGACTTTGTCTTTTCCTGAACATCTTCTGAATACAGTCAGGGAGCATGTGATTATTGATTTTATACATAAGCTGTGCGGTTTTAAAGTCGACCAGTTCTTTGAATTTTAACTCAAGTGTTTTTATGTATAATTGGTTGGTTGGTTCATTATAATCTGCTTTATTCATTATCCTTATTGCTCTTTTTTGAAGTAAGAAGATTGGGTTTGTGATTGTTTGATATGTGTGCCCCCAAACTTCAACACAGTAAGTTATATATGGTTTGATTAGAGTTTAGTACAGAATTTGTAGTGAGTTCACAGTGAGGATATTTTTGCATTTATACAGGATTGCAATGGCTTTTGACATATTGGTCTTTAAAAAGTTTATATGTGGCTTCCTGCACAGCTTGTGATCAACAACCACTCCAAGAAACTTGTTTTCATAAACTCTTTCCACTTCCACATTGTTTATAGTGATTTGCACTCTTTGATTTATTTTACGATTACCAAAAATAATCAATTTTGTCTTGTTTAAATTTAAAGATAATTTATTCACATCAAACCATTGCTTTATATTTTTGAGTTCTGTTATGACTGTATTCACAAGATGCTTGAGGTCTTTGCCAGAACAAAATAAATTTGTATCATCTGCAAATAGTACACCGTTAAGTTTACAGGAAACAACACAAATGTCATTAATATACAAAATAAAAAGCTTAGGGCCCAGTACAGAGCCTTGCGGAACCCCATATGTAACCCTCTGCAATTCAGACCGTCGAAACGTACACTGTTTCACATAAATACACGTTTGTCTTTATTTTGCAGACACTGTAGTGCATCAACTGTAGCTCTGCAGTTATGAGTGGAAAGGATCTGCATACTTTCATTACAAGCTACAGAGCAGAAGATGCGGGTAAGTCAGCAGAAACCGGGACTGAAACCTTGCTGACTTGTGACATAGTGGCCCATTGATCTGTTGAACAGATTTGACCTGAAGTCCCCATGTTGAATTCCTCAGG